TCCCCTACCTAAGGACCCTCCGATGCAGGAATACAAAGGTTAACTTGCTCAGAGATTTCACAGAGGACTCTCGGGTCTCATCCAGAAGGGCTGTGTCACAATAATCTTAGATCGCATAATAATTATAACACTGAATGCCCTGAGTCATTCAGTTCTTTCCTAGAATTATAAACAGAATACCTCTGCTTTTAGACTAAGTGATTGACTTTCATGGAGTTTCTTGGGTGGGTTCCAGCTGTGGAGGCCGAGAGGTTACCATGTTCTGTTCTGTGAGAGCGTCCGCTCTGGGCGATGAGGGTTCATGTTCTCGGCTTTTCCCAGATTGTCAGTGAGTGTCCATGAGTGAGACACACCTGACGGTACATTACAAAGTTTAGAGTGAAAACTGTTTCTTCCCTTTCAGCCGCCTCCCAGAACTCCCTTGGCTTTTCAGGACCAGGGAGACAAGAGATACAATTTAGCCACCTGGGTCCGTATTAGCTAAAACATCACCATTTTTTTTTATAAAATATTGTGACTGAGGCAACTTTTAAAAGGAAGAGTTCCTATGGGCTCAGAATTCTAAAAGGTTAAGAATTCACGATGAGCTGGGCAAGGTGGCACACACCTATAATCCCAGCACTCTGGAGGCAGAGGCAGGAGGATCTCTGTGAGTTCGAGGCCAGTCTGGTCTACAAAGTGTGTCCAAGACAGCCAGGGCTACAAAGAGCCATCTGCACCCTCCCCAAAAAAAGACAAATGATCAAACAAACAAACAAAAAAACCAAGAGACTCCATGATGGTGGAGCGGAAATATGGAAGCAAGCAGCAGACACAGTGGAAGGAACGGGGGAAGCTGAGCGCCGGCATCCGGAGCGGCAGCCCCCGGTGATGCCCTTCTTCCGGCAAAGCTGCACCACCCTGACGCTCCCAAACAGTGCCACCGAACAGAGAGCAAGCGCTCAGGTGCCAGGGACTGTGGGAACAGCTCTCATTCAGACTTCTGCAGGGTTCTACAGGAATGACGTCAATAAGAGGAAGGAGGGTATGTGAGCTGGTCTAGGGTGGTCGGCGATCCTGGTGGTTAAACCGTGAAGGGATGAGGAGGGAGAGTTGTAAAGAGGAGACTCAGTACTCCAGACTTCGCTTCCACAAGTAGTCTTACACACTCAGGATGGCCTCGAGATGGCACCTTTGATCACCCTGAAGTAGACCAGAGGCCCAGGGCTGAAGTTCTGTTCCTACCCAGGGATTACAATGGATGTGCACTCACCATTGGCTAGCCTTGCTCCATTCTGTTTTCATTTCTACCCAGCTGCCCTCGGTCTCTGCCTTTCCTGAAGCCAGGGCTGACCTGGTGTATGTGTGAGAGCACAAATTATATTTTAAGTTTTAGTTACTGTCCTAATTGATCCATGAGGCAAACACCTCTTGCCCAAGGACAGAGACTTCCTGAGAAGACGCTGGAAGCTATAGTTTGTGGAGATAACAAACCACATGATTTTGCTCCCCTAAACAAGTTGGTTTGCATAGAATGTGCACGCTTGGATGGAGGGCATGGGGGTGTTACATAGGCAGGAAACGCACCAGGATATACGCTTGTCCTGATTGGACGTCCCAGGGAGTTATACAGGCAGGAAGTATGTCAGGATGTATGCTGGCCTCTGACATCATGGGAAATATGGGCCCCCCATGGTTTCGCTTTTTAAGCCGCTGCAAAACATGCCTTGTGGCCATTTTCCTGGGAACCCATGGATGGACCAGGGAGGGCCAAGGCCCATCCTCCTGGCCAGTATTTAATTAATGCTTGCTTCAGTTTTGGCTTTAATTGTGGTAGCGGTCTTAGTCTCGACCAGTGGGATTAACGTGTGCTACTCTGAGCTTGAATTCTTTAGGTGGCCACTAGCAAGATTAATATTGCTAACATGAAGGAAATTATGCTTGACCTTGGTAAGCCACGTTAGCAGTTATTCCTTTGGTATTTCCAGCTAGGACCCTAGCTTCCATTTGCTCATTTACTAATTCACACGTCTAAGGAACATGTATCAAGATCTTTATACATAGTTATCAACAGCAAAGAAACGCAGGGCCTACCAAGAGTAAAACATACTTGCAGAGAGACGACAGCAGCTGTTTGTTTCTTTGCCTTCTGTCACCTCCAGACTAGCGAGTGAGAGACTCAGAGCTCAGGAGCAGGCCGTCAAAGCAATTGTCTCTGAAATTAGAGGTGGTTGGAATGAACCACGACAGGAGAAGATCATTCTCTTTCGTAGGGGCTCCCCAGGCAAGAAGACACGCCTAAGAACCCTCCGGAACTCCAGCTGTATCGTGATTTGTGACCTTTTCCCCCCACATTATAACATGGGGTTGTGGTGCAAAGCTGTACTCAAATTACAGAAGTGGCGATGTCGGGGTTGGGGGGATGGGAGACTTGAAGGTATCTGTTATTGTGCCTCCAGTGCTGCCCAGAGGGAAGGAGAGAACAGCCTCGTGTCTGCTGTCCCCGGAGAGAAGCCAACTTCTGCACAGGTGGTAACTCCCTGAACACTCCTACATGCTATCTCCTCCAGCACCGCAACTGCCAGGAAAGGCCGCAGCGTTATCACCCCTGTTTTATTGAGGAGGAAATGCAGCCAAGGAGGGGAAGTGACTTCCTGAGGTCCAAGGTCACTGTGTCAGTGAGAGGAGAGCACTGAGCCAGTGTGCTTTCCCCTCCCCCTGGCAGTCTAGCACACGCCCAGTGGGAAGCCCAGCACACTGAGTTGGTGGACACAGGGGCCTCTCAGCAGGGCCTCTTCCCCTTCCTCCAAGTCCAGGCTCATCAAGTTACCCTTTGTTGGGAGCACAGCACAAAGGTCCTTGCGCCCACAGATCTCCAGGGAAATCAAGAATGCGAAGTGCCCGAGATTGTCTCTCCAAGGGCAAAGATATGAAACCTTCTTCTCTCTAGAAAGCTGAGAACTGGAAGTGATTGATAGCCTGGTGGTGTGCATTACCTGTAGGACCGGGCCGTTATGAAGCCCCACCAACAGGACCAGAGATACCTTCCTGACCCTTACGTTACCTGTACAGCCAGGGCTTCCCGAAAGCTCCCACAACCAGCACAACTAAAAGCCCAAATGGCCTCCGTGCTCTCTGAGTGCCAGAGACCAGGCCAGACCCTTCTGTAGGCCTTTAAACTAGTCCAGACGGTCTACCTCTGGAACTCATGTCCTTGGAAGAAATGACATGCAGCCCGAGTGTCAATGTAATTACACGTCCTTGTACACTGGGAAACTTTCCCTCCAAACTCTACCATATTTAGATTTGTTGGGAAGAAACTGGCCTCAGACTCCCAGATGTCTTGATCCAGATTGATGAGGTCAGTCTGAACCAAGTTTTCCTTCTTACAGCTTAGCACTTCCCTGCCCACCACGACCACCTTCAGGCTCCTGCTCAACCCTTTTCTCAGTAACTTTCTGGAGGGAAAACAGGAATTGCACCTGAAGCCAGCACTAGGGTTCTGTCTACTGAGTAGGCGGGCAGGGCCCAGTGCCGGGAAGGTGTTCACCTGTGAGCTAACTCTGGCGCTGTCTTGAATGTGCCGTGTTTAAACCAGGTGTCTGGCGTTTTCAGTTTTGTCTTGGCTCCTGCAGACTATGTAGGTAGAGGGGCATACCGGGGATGCTCACTCTCAGGAGTAACGGGCTCTCCAGTGCTGGATCCTTGTGTCTATTCTAGAACATTGATGGCAAAGAGGATTTGGGTGCTTGTTTGCTTGCTTTTAAAGATTTGTATGTTCACTCCTTGTCTCCGTGACACCCTGAGTGGCCCTCAGACGACACCTGGCACTGTGCTCTCTGAAATACTCCTATGCCAGCAGCTGACAGTTTTGCCCTATACAGTGGAAGTGATGGATCATGCTTACCACAGTGTTTGCACAAATGTCAAGCACGGTGATATCCAGCGGGATCATTGGTGGTTATGTAGAGACCCCTCGGAGAGCCAGCATCGGTAAAGGCTGCAGATACTGAGACTCAAACAGGCTTTCTTCAGAGCTGTTCTACAAATGTTAGAAGGCCGTGTGGCCTTCCTCGGGAAGCTTGTCAGTGTCCCAGATGGGCCTCTGCTCACTCGCCGTTCTAGCTCATAATCCTTTTCCACGCCAAGGACAGCCATGAGTTTAGTAGCCTGACAGTGAGTCTTGCGTGCTGTCCTCATCACAGAACAAGAAAAATAAATGCACAAAACATAAAAAACAAAAAGCTCCTGTGCCCCTTTCCGAGTTTCAGTGCTAAGGTACGTTCTGTTGGGATAGGTACCTGTGTCGCTTAATGCTAAAGCCTGCAATGACTGTAGGTCAAAGCACAAGCTTTTAAAACATTTGACATCTATTCTATCATTTTGAAGATCCTGGGAGTCTATTAATGTTTGAATACTTTTTAAATACTTGTGAATAAGAGCCATAACCCTGTGAGGTCCAGATGCCATTTGAGCATTTGGAGAATATCTTTCGTTTTGGAGACATGTGCACTTGCTAAAATAGGCCTGGACCAGCTCTCCAAGCGCATGCCTTTGGGTGCCCGGGTTGACTGTTGCCATTCTGTCTTCCCCAGCATGCCAGAGGCACTGACTCACAGCTACGAGTGTTTCCGACTTCTCCACATATGGCCCTGCCAGCACTAGTTCAGTTTGTATATCTTTGCAAAAGCTTGACCTCTGATGAGGTCGGTCCCAGGCTCATTTTATAATACACTTAGGCAAAAATAACTAGAAGCAGATCCCTTTTATATATTTTTTTTCAGTATATTTAGTTCTTATACTATTTGTTAAATAGATAATTTTAAAATGTAAATGAGTATTTAGGAAATGTCTGAAAACTTTGTTTCTTTAAATTTTTCTTTCACTGAATGCATATTTTTTTAATTCTTTAAAATGTTTATTGTATTTGTTCAATCATTGATTTGTAGGGTGGGGTGTGGTGGGTGTGCGCATGCCAAGGCACGCATGTAGAGGTCAGAGGACAGTGTTCAGAAGTCAAGTCTCTGCTTCTACCTCATGAGCCCTGGGGATCAAACCTACATCATCAGGCTTGGCAGCAAGTGTCTTCACCCACTGAGCCGTTTTAACGGCCCTTAATTTCTTCTACTGTATTTTTCTTGATCATTCAGAACGCTCTTGGTTCTACATAGGGCTATTTTTACCATTTTTAAACCTTTAATTAGGCACCAGGAAGAGAGCCTGTGAGAGGCCACCAGTGAACCTGAAATGCAGTGGTAGTGGAAGGCCTCAGCCTTTTGGAGATGCCAGCACCGTGGGCTGACCTCCAAGAGCAGCAGCAGTGGCGTGGAGGCAGCAGGAGCGTGGAAGGCAAGCTGTGTGCTGCAGAGAGCAGAGCCGGAGACATGACTCAAGCTCCCCAGAGGAGCCCAGAGAGCGTGAGGAAATCCCAGGTGAGACCCTGAGTTATTTACACTGCTGGAGTTTTATTTCGCTGGGTTCACATTATGACTGTGCCCTGGTTCTTCCCTCTTGAAGAAGGTATTTATTTTAATTTTGATATTGGAGGGAGCCTATAGCGGAAAAAAACCCCGAACTTCTAAAAGAGAGTTTGGATTTTTGGAGAGGTTGGATATTTATTTATTCAAGGAGACTGAAATTTTAATGTGTTTGACTTTCTAAAGACTGTGGGAGTTTTAAAGTTATGCTGTTAATGTGAGACAAATTAGAAAAGAATTTGGAGACAAATAAGAAAAGTGTGGCTTAATACTGGCCTCCATGGCCTCTGCATCAGCTCCTGCTCCAGGATCCTGCCCCCTTTGAGTTCCAGTCCTGACTTCCTTCAGTGATGAACAGTGCTGTGGAAGTGTGAGCTGAATAAACCCTTTGCTCCCCAACGGACTTTTTGGTCATGGTGTTTTGTCACAACACACACACACACACACACACACACACACACTCTCTCTCACTCTGGCTTATCACAGTTCTGAAGAAAATGTTCTTCTGCCACTGTAGGGATAACCCTGTTGGTCCTTCAGAGACAGCTGTATGCAGCCTGGATGCACAGCTGAGCCCCAGCTGTATGCACACTGGACCTATGACTCAGCATTCTGGACTGGCTTTGCTTCACAAAGTAGATGTATTGGGGCACATTGGGCTTTCCTACAGCGTCCAGAGCCGGGCTTCCCCAAACATGTACTCACTACTGTCAGTGGAAAGGGCTTGGGAGGGAAGGTCAGCTTTGTGCAACCAAAGAAGCAATCTGTCAGCTGAGTATCCAGGGCCAAGAGGCCTCTCTGAACGGTGACTGAAGCAACAGTCACGGAACAAAGACCTGTGTGAGGGTAAATTTCCATCTCTTGCTCAGAGGTTACCTGACACCTTGACTCAAGAAAGAAAGCAAACAAAACTCTCTATTTCTAGATGAAAAACCTATGCCACATTGTCCCACATTCAGAGTCGGCTGATAGGGAATTCTAACTTCACTTCTCTGTACTTGTAATTTTTTTTTAATATGTATACATTGATTATATAATTAAAGTCACATAAAATAAGTTTAAAATTAATATAAGCCTAAAAGTCACAAGCCCCGATGGCCTCATCAGGCCCATGAAATACAAGATGGAGACATTCAAATCAGTTAAATTTACAACTATTAATGTAGGCTCTAGCTGGCTCTCCATCGTGAGACCAGGATGGCCTCAGACTAAGATCAGCATGTCTCTGCCTCCTGAGTGCTAGAATTAAAGCTATGAGCCACTGTGCCTGGTTCTTTTTCCTTTTCAACTTGTCAGCCATAATGATAAGTGCAATGGAAGTTGAGACCCAAACAGTAAATAAAACTTAAAATAGAGCACTTGCCTAGCATTCGCAAGGCCGAGAGTTCGATGCCCAGGCCAGGAAAATCAAATAAAATAGTACTTGTTAGAGTTGCTGCCCCAAAGATAAAAGAGTCTTCCAGGTAGTGTGGGACCCGCTATTTAAGTGTTGACTGTCCCCAGACGCCCATCTAAGGGTCTATCATGTTGCTGGAGTTGGTAAGCCTTTAGGAGACGGGGCTGTGGCCATGCAAGCCAGGACAGAGGTGATGGTGCATTAGGATGTCTGTCACAAAGGTGTCCCCAGGGCCTCCTCAGGAAAGTCAAAGGAGGGTGTTATTGGATCCGGCCCAGGTATATGACTCCAGTTCACAGAAAGACTGGCCATAGCATACACATGCATACACACATACACACGTATACATACACACACAATCCCATGTTCCCATGAGATTTAACTTCTGGGGGCTTGGCTCACTAGCAGAGTGCAAATTTGTCATGTATAGGCCTGGTGAGATGGCTCAACAGGTAAAGGCACTCACCCCGAGCCTGACCACCCGAGGGTGATCCCTGGACCACGGTGGACAGAGAGAAGTAACTCCCACATGCTCTCCTCTGACCTCCGTAAGGGAGCTGTGGCCGACACACGAAATTAATAGATCCGTGTACCTTTAGAAATAAAATGAGAGTTGCATGTCTACAGCACTCAGATCAACCCCAGTACTACACCCCAAACAAACCAACAAACAAGCCCTGTAACTTTTGAAATAAGGGAATTTAAATCAAGACTCTGGAATGACCCCTTTAATAGAAAGTCCTTTCCCTTTCCTCAACTGTCACCATGATCTTATTTCCGGCTGAGGTAATGAGCCATATTAAGGACCTTGAAAGATGCTGTACTTGTAGGTAGGTCTTAGAAGGAAGATAATTCTAGAAATATAGTACACTCTCCAACTATGCTGGGCAAGCCAAGCTTTGCCCCAGAGAACGCCATCTGTATGAATAAGTCATAAGTGCAGAGAAGCTGAATTGCTTATCGATGTGAATGAGAATACAAAGTCCAATTAATAACGGCTCCAAGTTCATGTTCTAAAGAGCAACCAGACTGCTGTTTTTCCAAACAAAACAAAAGCAAAGAATAAAACTACGGCAGACTTCCTTGGGTGGCCTTAAAACTGGAGTCTGCCCCTGTGTCTTCTGAGTGAACCCTTTCCCTACTGAAGCCTGTGTTTTTGTTTGTTTGTTTGTTTGTTTGTCTGTGGGCTTTTACTCTGGATCCCACACACTTAGGGGGAGGAGAATGGAGGCCTGCATGTTATCAGCTATCGTAAGAAAGTGTCCTCTCTCTCAAATAGCCAAGGACTGTGATCCAATCAGAGAAGCAAAGACAAAATCCTGAGAGAAGGGTCCCTGCTCCACACCGCCTTATTTAATATCCACCAGGCTTAGGCTGAACATGCTGTTTAGGAGACCAAAACGCAACCCAAGTTGTCAGTCACAGAGACAGAGCGGGAGGGTGTGCACAGGCAAAGGGGGCCTTGTGCTCCGTGATGTCAGTGCTCCGAGAGGCACCAGCAGTGAGGGAGAGCGGGTTCTCCCGGCACGGTGACTGTGGGTGGGGAAACTCCAGCTCCAGCTGAGGCAACAGCAGTGACGGAGGAGCTCCCCGGAGGGAACAGTAGCATGCCCAGGGGAGGCCTTGCCAGGGAGAGTGACGCTGCTGCCTCCCAACAAGGGAGGGTGCCTGCGCCTTGGTAATCTTTCCGGTAGGGGGAGGAGAAAATGGGGGGAATGGAGATGGGGATGAGGGTGGGGATGGGGTGGGGTGGGCAGAGTCTGACCCTGCAGGCAGCATAGGAACACATGCAGAGAAGGGGATGGAGGCTGGCAGGGCCTGTCGGGAGTGAGGCACAAGCTGCAGATAGTGAGTGACCAGAGGCTTTGATAGCAGTTTCTGAAGTCGGATTGTCTAATCTTCAGCATCGTTCCTCCCCGGGTACTTCAGACACCAGAGAAGAACCAAATTCAAAGGGGGAAGTTTTGCGAAGACAAAAAAGGCATTTTTCTCCTCCTCTTGGAAGCCCAGGAAAGGAGGAAGCTCCTTATCATGGTAGGACCGGGCAGCCTTGAAGCGGCAGGACAGGCGAGGGCTGGGCTCAGGGCAACCCAAGCGAGAAGCAACCAGGGCGGTGGACACTGCTGGTCTTCTTACTGTCCTCTGAGTCATTGATTCAACTCATTCTCTGTCTAGAGCGGCAGATGTGCATGTTGAAACAGCTGGCTTCTTGTCTGACTTGAACAATGCAGACACAGGCTCTCTCAGCCCCTAGCCCGGCAGTGTTGACATAATTTGGGTGAGGCTTGCTAGGGGAAACAGCGCTGCTTGGATCCCATCTGGAATGTGCTTCCCAGCGTGCTTAGCAGTGAAGGTAAAGTGCCACACAGAGAGGAGAATAACAACACGGAGCAGGATTCCTGGAAGGCCCCGCTGGACCCTGAGTAGCACAGGACCCAGCGGGCCGAAGCTGAGCTGGATTCTTCTGGGGCCTGGGCAGAGCCAGGGTGTCCTGGAGGGGAAGCAGAGCGACCCTGAAGAGCACAGGCCTGAGAGTGTGCACTTAGTGCCCTGCCTGCCTTGCCACATCTTTGGAGGACACAAACACATGGTCCTCCTTTGGCTTGGGGAATGACTGGCGGGTTGAGGAAGGACAGGGCGGAAGGAAGCCGGAAGCAGGACAGCCACACTGCTGGGGAGCGTGCAGGTCCTGGCTCCAGGTCTTCTCAACATAGCCCCATGGTCTCTCCCAGGGCTGCAGAGGCGCACAGTGCCCAGACAAGTGCCCTCTCCTAGGTTAGCCGGGCTGAGCTGGGACTCTGTCCTGACTCAGTACCATTATTTTATCCCATTAGTCACTGATAAACTGTGATCTCTACTTCTTTTCCTCTTTGATCATATTTGACACACTGTCTTGGGTAACGGGGAAAACCTGCTGGCGGATGGCCACTGTGGGAAGCTCTGGGCTCCCTGCGGAGGCGGGAATGCCTTACCTTGGTAGGCATCCTACTTGGTAGGAAGGCAATAATTTGGCCCTTGCCCCGGAAACTCAAACAAAAACGGAATAAGTCGAATTAAGAAACATTCTGTTTTTTTGGACGTGACGTGACTGCTGCACACATGGATTCACAGTCCCTGTGGTTGTGCACATTTCCTGTGTGAGCATGAGGCCTGCACAAGGTCAAGCCAGTCAGAGCCCAAGCATGCCCGGGAGAGGGACGTGCCAAGGCCTACCCCTGCGCGAGGTGCTATCCACAGTCGGTAGGTGGGAGAAGAGAGTCCACTTTCTTTAGGGGTGTGGTCCCCCACAGACCCCACATGTTCCCGTGCAGAGCCTGTGCACACACGGACAGCGGTGATTGTACCAGGTGGATTAAAAAAAGACACAGTAGATGTTGCCTCTGTGCCTAGGAACTGGATGGCCCGGAGACAGAGGGTAGACCCAGCACGGCGGGGCAAAAAATAAAAATTTAAAAAGTCAATGAAATGCTCCCTAATGATGTTCTGCTGTACGCATAGATCGGCGCCTGGCCCAGGCATCAGAGAGCTGCCTCAAGCTGCTGGTGTGTCGCAGAGACGCACAGCCAGACACTAGGCAGGGCCCTGGGAACCCGGTGGAAGAGGGGGGCGGTAGGAGAATTCTCGGAGAAGTTGGAGGGGGGTAAGGAGGCGGATGTGACTAGATTTTATTGTATTCATAATATAGAATTATTAAAGAACACATTTAAAAATATTTTTGAAGAGATACTTACACACGCAAGCGAAGAATTGTTCTGTCTCAGCTACTTTGCATTAGCCTCTCTCAACACACACTTGCACATGCACACACACACACACACACACACACACACACACACTCATATACACACATCACCCCCTACACACACATATATATATACACGACCTACAATATAACACACACACACAGAGGCCTGTTCATCAGTTTCAGGGAAAGCACAGCAGTCTAGGCACCAGCGACTGAAAGCCACTGCTCATGTCAGTTTTGACATTCCCAGCCGTGCTGTGTGCAGACCTTCCTACAGTCATTTAGTTCGCTGACTTGAAGACGTTAGGGACCAACCCAGGCACGGTACTAAACGTCTTTAGTCCTAGTATGTGGGAGGCAGAGCAGCAGGGTCTCCATAGCAAGCCTCGGGCCAGCCAAGGTCACGTATCTCCAAAAAACCAGGAAACATACCAACCAACAAACAAACGTTTAAGGCCCATCATCATTTCGTTCTTCATCTCTCTATTGTCTGTTTCCACAATCGCCACTTTCAATTTGAGCTCACTAATGTACGGAAATGAGTTCTAAAGAAACCCTTTCCCTTTGTTTATCTGCTGCAGGTTCTCCTGTCCTCTCGGTTGGCCTCCAAGTGGCTGTGTAGCTGAGCCAGGCCACGAACTCACTTCTTCCTCTACCTTCCAAGCTCTGGAACTGTAAGTGTATATCACTATGTCTGACTTTAAAAAAAAAAAAAAAAAAATCTTGCTGCTCATGTTCCTATCACTTCTCACTACAACACAATAAAAAGCTTCGGCCTTGCCTGAATTCACCCAGATTTCTATTCATCTAGCTGAGAGCATGTGCTCTCAAAGGCGCAAACTGAAAGCATGTGAGGAAAACAACCAAATGTGAAAATTACAAACTGAGGCTATTGCAGGACTCCTGGCCATGGGTTATTTTCTGTCCTTTCTCTACCAACACGCAGACAATGAACAGGCTCCAGTTCCGGGCCAGAGTGAGAGAGGTGTCTCGGGTAGCGGTGGGGAAGTTTTTTCCCATTGACTCAGGGACCTGAAAGAGTGCACCTGCTTCTTGTGTTTTCTGGGGATGTTGGTGGCCCATAGAACAGAGCACCTTTTTGCTCTGTCTTCATCCCAGGACCTATGTGACCTGGACATGGTCTGCTCTAGGCCTCCAACAAGGCTCAGAACCCTGGCCTCCGAATGTAGGTCCAGAGTTGTCCAAGAAGCGTACTCCACACGCAGGTGATGAGCACATCAGTCAGAGAAAACTGGAGCACCAGTTTCCAAATGGCCTTCTCTCAACTATCCCACGGTGGGCACAGAGAGGACCGTGCCGTCATCACTCAGTGGAGCTGGTCTGTCTTTTTCTCCTCCTCCTTCTTCGCCTTCATCTTTTTTTTTCTTTTGAGATGAAGTCCCACAGTCCCGGCTGGACTCAAAATCATGATTGCCCTATATCTGCCTGCGAAGTTCTGGGATTACAGGTGTGCATACCTGTGCCGGGATTCATCGAGAGCCTAGGATTGTGCTGGCTACATCCTTGGTCCCCCGAGGCTGTGGGCCAGCAGTGCTGTCACTACATGGGAGCTTGTGAGTGAGTGAAAACAGAAATACAAAAGAAGGGCTACGAGTCCTTCCAGGTATGGCGGAGGGGAAAGTTTATTTACATAAAAACAGAGCACATAACCAGAGTCAGGGATATTGGGGAGCCTCCAGAGTGGACAGGACCCTGAGCCTTTTGAGGTGATGGGGGAGGGAAGGGGAGAGAGGGAGCCATGTGCAGCAGCCAGAGGGCAAGGGTACAAAAACTCGGGTAACCAGTGGTTGAATTACATAGACTAGAGCAGCTCAGCCCCCAGGCTGGAGAGCTCAAGGTAGGGAGCTGGACACACCAGCCTAGAGGACCCTGTCATAGGTGGGGGCTGAGGGGTGCTGGAAGAACGTGGCCCTAGGTTCACTTTGATATGTTAAATAGGAACCGCAGCCAACAGCCCCAGGGTTTGAGACTCAACAGTAAGGAAGGCAGAAAGGAAGCTCTCCAGGCCCAGCAGCTGGAGTCTGTTAGTGATACTGGGGCGTTCACTTTAAGCAGCCCCGGCTTAGCCAAGCAAGGAGACACACCTGAGCCGTGGAAGGAAGGCCTACATGCAGGCACCCAGCCTGGGCTCGACCGGACAGAGCCACTTTCTGCGGGGGCCGGTCATTACCATGACTTCTTACGACAGAAAAAAACAGCTGCCTCTTCCAGCCAGAACCTAACACCCGCTTAAGTCTGGGCACCTGCTGCTGCCTTTGTCTTCCTCTCAACTCTCATAAAAAGAACGGAAATCGGAACCATTCATTGTCCTAGCGGCTTCTGGGGGTTTTGATTCATTCATCTTCACAGACAATCCAGCTGGTGGCTTCTGCTATTATTAACTGTCTTACAATTAGTCTTCTGAGATGTAAGAAGAGAAGTAATTTAAGGTCACAGTGCCAATGCCAAAGTCCCTCCCAGGGGTGTCTGGGCTCCACAGGACCCGGGCTCATTTCAGGCTGGCAGTTCCTGGGAGACTGCAGCTTTGGAGGCTTCCTGCCAGTGTTCTGAGCTCCGGAGCAAACTGTTCTTCCAAAAAAAAAAAGCCTCCTTCTGTGTCCCCTCCGATTCCTAGCTTCCTAGGAGGCTCTGGCTTCCGATGTACGGGCCTTTAAAATGCCAGGTTACAACTTTCCTACTTTGACTCCTTCAGCTCAACTCCAGTGCTCAACTCCTTCTCAAAAATCTCTAGGAAAACCCTAAGAAAGAGGAAAGGTGTAACAATTCGTTCCCACCAAGATGCTCCTGCTACTCATGCCCAGGGAATTCGGGACACTTTCCACCTGCCCCCACACCTCTGCACCCCTCTCCCACCCCACTCCTCCCCTCCCCCACTCCACCTAGAGCTCCAAGGGAGTCAGCTGTTTCCTGCCCAACCCAAGAGGCTGGGTGAGTCATCGCTTTCCCTGCTGGAGCCAAGGCGTGGCTCCTGGGGCTGCAGTGTCCCCATCCCAAATTCTCAGACTAGCCTGTGAGGGTTGGCGAGCCGGCGTATGCTTTCAATCTCATGAATTAAAAACGAGCCCACTGAAAGCCCGAAGGTGCCCACTAGCGGACTTGAAGCTAGCTGTTGCCTCTCAGGAGACCCGGCTCAGCCTGGAGGATGCCGGCTTTCCGGGCCTCGCCCTCCGGTGACCGGAAAGGCATGTGAGGGGAGCCAGATGTCAGCACCGGCCCTGCTTGCTACCGCGTGTGTGTGGCACCACGTTGTTCGGAGCCAATAGGAAGTGACCCCAAGGGCGTCTTCCCGCTCCTGCCCTCCGCCACTCTGCCTGTTTGAAACGGCAGACACTAAAATCTGCAGCAGCTGCACGCCTAAATCTCTCATCCCCGTCCTGGGCACGGCCAGCAAAGGGCTCACATGCACAGGTGCTCAATAGATGCGCAGTCAGAACATAAAAGGGAGTGCGGCGGTCGCTGAGCTCACAGGGGAGTTCCCTGGCACTTTGTAGCGCCTTCTTCAGTCGGATTGAAGAGTTCAGGGAATGACGGCTTCCGCCACTCGGTTTAGGAACTGGGAAGGCTGGGGATGGGCAGGGCCGGCTGGTCGCCTCCCGGCGCAGCAGGTGAAATTCAGTCTCCCTTATTGCACGTTAAGCTTTTCTGTCTGGACTGAGCAAAGATCAGAGAAGAAGCCTTGACTGGGCCAGGCTGATTTAGTCCATCTGGAGGAGAAACTTCCGCCGCAGAGTCGTCCCTGGGGAGGCCAGGCCTCTGGTCCACACGGGCTCCTGTGAGCCTCACAGCGAACCTTGGGAGGATGGAGCCGGGGTGGAACCCAAGAACAGGAATCACAGCCTCTTTGGGGTGGACCCTGGCCAGGGCTGGCCTTCCTGGCATCCGCCCCGTCAGGGCCCAGCACAGGCAGAGGCACTTAACGTAAACGTTTGCCAATGCCATCACCCTTGCGGAGGCGAAGGGAAGCATTTCAGGGAGGAGACCATTACATCATGCTCACATTCTCCTGGCTCCGGGTTGGGCCTTGCTCTTTATTATCAGGAGACATTCGGCTTTGGCACACCCACGTTTAGCTTTTCCACCAAGCCAGTGAGGGGGAATAAATGGTTCTTTCTGTCTCCACAGGCCGCTCGCTGGTCCTTACATGGCCTCCCCAAAGAGAGGCTTTTGAGAGGCTTCGTGTTTAGTGGAACACTGCACTCCCTCCTGAGTGTCACTGCTCAGAGCACGGATGAACGCCTGTAAGTGAGGCCCTAGTCAGGGTCAACCTGGAACGTCCAGTTCAGAAAGGAACCATGCTTGTTTATAGTGGCTTCTGGGGGAGTCCCTCCCATTTCCAAGATACTCTGCAGCCAGGCTGCCCCAAACTGGCTGAGGGTGAGGATGACCTTGAACTTCTGATACTCACCCCTGCAGTGCTGAGTTTAGGCCACCGAGCCTGGTCTGGGCAGCACTGAGGACTGAACCCGGATGTAGAGCATGCCAGGGCAGCACAGCCAGTGGAGCTGGAGGCCCAGCCTGGAGCTTCGGGGCGCCTCAGCCCAAGCACCCAGCTTTGCCTGTAAGGACTGTAACAGCAGCACTTCCCTTGTGCTTTACCAGGCTCCGGCCGCGCCTCCAGGACCTCCTCCGGAGCCACGAAGGAGCCCATTCTGAGTTTCAGTCCCGAATCCATCACCCACTGGTGGGGTGGGATCGGCTGACGGGTTTGCTCAGAAGATCTTGTCCTCACCTGGCGTAGGGTGTACCCCGGCGATCTCACGAGAAGGTGGAGACAAAAGGATTGTGAGCTCAAGGCTGAGCTGGGTTCCACAAAAAGACAATCAAAAACCAAACCAAGTACATAAATGTGTGTGTGAGTGTGTGTGTGTGGGTGTGGTGTGTGTGTGGTGTGTGTGAGTGAGTATGGGCGTGTGTGTGTGAATGTGTGTGTGTATAGCATGTATGTGAGTGGGTGTGTTGCTGGGGCCTCAGATTCCTGATTTAGAAAATAAAGATGATCCTTGCATTTATTTCAAAAGCTGGGAGGGTTGTAGGAGATCTTCAGCCAGAAGTGAGGTTCCCCATCAGTCGCTGATGGCAGCGGGAATTACACCTTAAGCTTGCAAGCCTCCTGCCAGTGACAAGCAGGGCTCATTTATCTTTGCCTGATCCCCACCTCCACCCCCGCTGCTGTCCAGAGCTTAATGAGGCTGAGGAGGTATCACTGAATGAATGAATGAATGAATGAATGCATGAGCCTAGCCATTCAAGACGCCGCTGGAGCTGCAGAGCTGGTCTGCAGATGCCAAGAGACAAAAGGCAAGACGCAGGCTGCAGCATGGGCACAACGGTACAAGCAGAGGCAGAAGCAGAGGAAGCACATTGCCCCCACTTCTGTCTCCTGCCATGGAATGGCTCCGGGGGGGGGGGACCAGCCCCACCCCCCAGTGATGCGGTTGAGGCAGGAGAGTGAGAGAGTGAGATCGATAACACGTGTGTTGCCTTGAGTCACTGAGTTCCTGCTCTTTGTCAGGGTAGTAATAGAAACAAACACACAGGTTCTAAGCGACAGAGCAAAGCCCCACCCTTTCCACGCCCCTCTCCACCTGCCCACCACCTTAGGCAACTGTGCTGGTTTCTCCTGCTGCTTGAGGGCAGCTCAGAGTTCCCTGAGCTCCCAGGGAGGTGCTGGACCCATCTCTGAGGTCAGGATGCCCAGCTGCTACATCGTTATCTTTCCGTCTGTTATACCCAGCAGGAAGCTTTGAGGCCAAGGCACTAGGGTTGCCAAGGGAAACAGAGATGCCCTTCAGTGAACCGTGACTCTCAGCTTGGAAATATAGTTTCAGTATGTCCCAAATATTGCTTGAGATGAAACGATTACAAATGTTGCCTTCCTTTCTTCCTTCCTTCCTTCCTTCCTTCCTTCCTTCCTTCCTTCCTTCCTTCTCTCTCTCTCTCTCTCTCTCTCTCTCAAGTCTGGCAGTCCTCTGAGGAACAGACATTAAAACACAGAGTTTTCTAGGGCAAGTAAGACTTACAGGAACGCAGTAAGTGGTGACCTAGATCTGGCCCCCTCTCTGGGACCAGTGCCCTTTTGTTCCTGCCACAGTCAAATCTGATATCAAGAAAGGCTCTCGTGTCTGTCAGATGCTTGCACTTCAGTGGAAATTGCTCTCTGTAGGCTGTGGCCACATCCTTAAAGCTATATCCCACTATGGGATTAAAGCATGCATCCCTCCTCTAAAGTGAGAGACCAAAGGATAAAGTAGCAGCTGTAGTTAAAACCTAGAGTAGGTGCTGTAAAAAGTTAGTAATGCCCTGAGGGGAGAGCTACCTCACTGCATTCTTTCCCCACCCACTAGAGATACGGTTGCTAGGAAACTGGACCCTCCCTCTAGAGAGGGACACCTGGTCATGGTCAATGGTCTGGGAACCTTCCTATAGCCAATCGATTCAAAATGTAGCATCTTGACCAATAGATGCTTGCCAGGCAGGAATTGCCCCTGCCTTGGGTATGCTGGGAGGGACCAGAATCTGTAAATCACCCAACTAACCTGGGGACGGTGCTCTCAGCTCCTACCGCTTCGGTGGTGGGGCTGTGTGGGCCCAAGCTGCAGCTTGTAATTTACAATAAAAAGACCCTCATGTGTTTTGCAACGGAGTCGTTTCCTGTAGATCTTTTGGGGGCTCGAGAACTGGATATAACAAAGAAAGGTTGGCACCGCCGAGCAGGCAGGCCATACATCCTCTGTATTCCGTCACAGCTCAGGATCTACAGTGTGCATCTGAAAGCTTTCTTCCTAGTTGAGACGTGTGTTTGTGTGTGTGTGTGTGCACACACTCTCGTGTGCACGCACAGGGGCTGGAAAAGGGATCAGGTAGTCAGATATCTTAGAGATGGAATTACAGGCAGTTGTGAGCTGCTTGAGGCAGGTTTAGGAAACCAAACAAGGCTCCTCTGCTTTTTACCGTGTGTTTTTACCATGTTGTGCTGCGCTGTCACAGGCCCAAAGTAATAGCCAAGTGACTGTGCGCTGAAACCTTGAATCAAATGAACCTTTCTTCTCTTTAAGTTGATGTACCTCAGGTGTTCTGTCACAATAACCAAAGTTCTTCTAGGACACAGGGGTTAGGCAAAGACGTGGGCTTTAGAGTGGCACAGCTTTGTCTTGAGCCTGGCTTTGCTGCTTTCTGCTCTGTGACCTGGAGTAAGTTACTATGTCTCCAAACATTTCTTCTCACACGTGTCTTCAGAACCATCACGGGGACTGAAATGAGTGTAGACATGCAGAGTGCTGGTGCACAGGCGATGTTTGGAAGACGCAGCAGCGAGGGCCCTCGACCTGGCGCCCTCTACGGGTAGCTGCCTGATCTGCAGGCAGAATGCAAGGCCGAGGCCGGAAGCTGTGCCCTGCTAAGAAGTCTGTAGCAGCCATCTATTAGACATGCTCGGGAGCGCGACACCGCAGAGACCACCCCCACCGTGCCTCACACTAACTCCTCCAACAGTCAACAGCTCCGAGAGCTGACGCCACGTCACCTGCCCACAGCTCTTTCGTGGCGCTCGCCTAGCTAGCTCACGCAGAGCAGATCTTTGACCTCCATCATTGGGTGCAAGACCTTCCTGTCACCCACCTCATCTGACGGGAGCTGTTATGTCTACCCCTTAAACAGACAAATAACAAAAACCTGTCTGGACTAGAGAGACAGTTCAGCAAATTAGGGGCGTCCTGCTTTCACACCCCAGTTAGTTGGCTCACAACCGCCTGTGGCTCCAGCTCCAGGGAATCTGACACCCTCTTCTGGCTTCCATGTGTGTGGCCACATGGCACACACTCATACCCATAAAGAAATAATAAGTTAAATCTTAAAAAGAAAGAGACCATTGAGTTAGAATTCCTCTATTCCTCTGAGTCTTGCAGCTGACACAGCAGCCAGCCAGCAGGGAGCCCAGCTCAGGTAGACTGAAGACGACAGAACTCTGAACCCCAGTAAGGTGACCCTCCTGTCATTAAAGCATGCTTCATGCAGTGAGGGTGAACCTCAGGACTAGCAGTTTGGAAGCTATGTGCTTAAGAACATTCTTTTTCTATAACGTTCCCTTGGTGTCTCAGAGAAGTCCCATGCAAACCCTCATGCAGTTCTCTCTCTCTCTCTCTCTCTCTCTCTCTCTCTCTCTCACTGTGTGTGTGTGTGTGTGTGTGTGTGTGTGTGTGTATCAGGTTTCCCTTGAAAACAGATGCCAAAGAGGAAAAGAAAGAAAGAAAAAGTCCTGGCGTGACTTTGAGGGACGATTCTTTGTATTAATCCCGAAGGCCAGAGAGGAAAGCTGGCAGCTTGGCAGAAAGATGAGCGTGCACTGGACGGTGTGTGATCAGAGAACCCTCAAAGTGGAGGCCGCCCCTCGCTGGGGCCTGGGTGGAGAGGTGGCCCCTGTACCAGGAGCTGTAAAAGCCGACAGGAGGCAAGCTTGGGCTGTTTGGATCCAGGCCTCTGCCTCCCGGGTGGGATCAGGCTGCTTCCTCAAGAAGACACCCATTCCCACGCCCATGGCCACTTTTGAAATGACTTAGCCCTGGCAGCAGGAGCCAGATGTGCCATAAATTGCTCTGTGACTCACACTATTCATCTCTGTTTTGACGACACCAAGATCCTTGGAACTTAAGCTTATGTTTTATAGAAAATGTCACCGTAAATGCAAGATCTCCTTCATTTATGGCCCCCACCCCCAAAGGCCATTTGTGGCCAGGGAAAGAAGCAAATTCATTTATACTCAGGAACAAAAGCAAAGTTTCAAGGTGTCAGCCATCTGGTCAACCACGTGCCTCTGTCTCCTCTGCAAAAGGCAATCATGACCTTACCCACTTCCCAGGTCTTGGGATGATTCAGTGCGTTGGAAAGTTCTAGAACTGCACTGTAGGCAGGGGGCTCTCAGGTTCCAGCCTGAGCTACACAGTGGGCTCATATCTTAGAGGTGGTGGGTGGGAGTGGGTGAGCTGGAGATACAGCTCATTAGTTAAAAGTCCTTATTGTTTTTGCAGAGGACCAAATTTTGGTTCCCAGCACCCAATCTCCATCCCACTGTCTCCTCTGCAAGTAGCTATAATGACCTCAACCACTTCCTGGGTTCTTGGGATGAGCCAGTGAGTTGGAAAGTTCTGGTA